TTTCGTCTCACATACTTTGGATGTGTTTCTAGGTGAGATTATTTCCTGGAGAAGGATGCCATGCTTGGGAAGGTGGAGGGATGGCAAAGCAAGGAAGACCCATGACCATGTATGTTGACACAGTAACTACAGCAATGGGCTTGCGGATGTCAGAGATTATGAGGATGGCACAGGCAAGAACAGGGTTCAGATCTGTTGTTCACGTGGTCACTGTGAGTCATGCCAACTTGACAGTGCCTAACAAAACCACAGCCATCTCTTACACTATGAGAAAATGTATTTTTCTTTTCTAAATCTATCTATCTGTAATATTTCCGTTATAGCAGTACTGGATAGCAAAGACACATTTAATGTACTAACAATAGATGATAATGAAGAAAGAATGGTCTCCATGGAGTATATAGACTATAGAGGAGAAAAAGAATAAAATATCAATTATATAAATAATAAATATTTCTAAAACTACAGGTATTAACCAAGATCTTATTTTGTTGCATCTGTGAAAGTCCAAATAAAGGCATTTTAATCCTTTCTGCAGGCATTCTTGAGTTTGCAGTATCGCTGTAACGAGCACACTGGGTTATTTACATTATTTCCAAACCTCCTCAAGTCAGGACATCCCTGCTTGCCCTGACAGCATGTGACCCAGTGGAACATAGAGACTCACAGTGGCAAGTCCACCACGGCTTGTTTTGATGTGCCTCCGCTCAAGCCAGGCCACTAGGCATAGTCACTGAAGTGCAGCCAAGGAAGGTGGGAGGGACGCTGCCTGCAGCTTCCCTGCCACTCAGTGGGGGCAGAAGTTTCCATGACATCAGTGAGAGAAAGAGACCTAGTTGGAGACCATTGTGAAGTCAGGTTTTGCCCATTTCCCAGCAGAGAAGCCGCGGCATCTCCCGGTACTCATGCGGCTTGTATACATACGGCGATTTGAGTGAGTGGATTCTCCCTGACTTCTTCAGTTTGCCATAGACTTAAAGTTCAACTATTACCTGCATACATACTGCCCTGAAGCTTTGTCACAACAGTGTGAAAAATTGTTATGGGAGGAACCCTGTTGTTTCTCATCTGCCTTAAAGGCCAGGTCATACTGCATTGCAGTCACTGACACAGCCTAATTAAAGAAGGAAAGCTTCCTTCTAAGCATTATTCTTTCTTACTAATATGCTGTTGTTGTTTTGTGTGCCATCGAGGCATAACCAACACATAGATGGCCCTCCAGGGGGTTTTCAGAGGCAGTAAAAAGCAAGTGAGGATGTCACCCATCTTTCTCCTGCAGAACAGCTGGTGGATTTGAACCACATACCTTTGGGATTGCAGCACAGATTCTTACCACTAGGCCACCAGAGCTAAAAGTTCAGAACTACATTTGCCAGATGTGTTTAGTTTCCTAAATCAAAAGTCTAAAATATGTATCAAAATAAGGCATTCTGTGACATACTTTTAAGTCCCACAACTTAAATATTGAGGGTTTTAGAATTTATTGAAACCTCAGAGCTAATAATAGCAAGAGCCTAGCAGGCCAGTGTTAATAAACCAGAGAAAAAGAACCAGTTAGGCTCATTTCTGTAAATATGGTTGAGGCACCACCGTTAGATATCAAGGTAACAACCAAGTCAGCCCCACGTGTCAGAGAAATGCTCCTAGGTTCTGAATGGCAGGTTTTTCAGAAGTGGAACACCAACCAGGCTGTCTTCCCGGGAACCTGTGAGTGGGCTTAACCTCCCACACATTCCATCACCAGTGAAGTCTGTTGGTCTTTTTCACCATTCAAGAATTCCAGACGTCAAGTTAGCCTCTTTCTATATTTTGAATGTTTTGTTTTCTGTTTTAAAACGGAAAATTGAGACAATACTGAGAAGACAAGCACAAGAAAACCACTAATGTATTGTCACCACTCTGCTAGTATCAAAAAAATATTTCTTGGTACTAGAATGTGGTGATAGCATTAGAGCTAAACAGAGGTAAATGTGAATCCTACCTTAGCTCTTCCCTAACTCTGTGACCTTGAGCAAGTCACACTCTCTTGACCTCATGTTTTCATCTATAAATGCAGAAGATAATACAGAGTAGATGTAAGATAAGATTTCCCACGAATAAATGTGTCTCATTCCTGGGAAACTCCACTGACATCAGGTGGATCCTGGCTCATTGTACCCCATTAGGATGGAACGGTTTCCGAAGCTGTGCTCCTTCTGGGCACAGGCTCAGCTTTCTCGTGTTCAGCTGCTGTGAGGTTAAGAAAACCAGCCTCTTGGTTTTTCTTTTTTTGTTGTGTCCCATCAAATTGGATCCGGAGCATCTGGTGGACTCGAACCACGTGCCTTCGGCATTGCAGCGAAGCTTCTTGTCTCTAGGCCACCAGAGCTCCCTGAAAGCCAGCCTCTTGTTAGCAGCTGAGAGTGGTAATCATTGGGCCACCAGGACTCCTCCAAGTGACAGCAAAACAATAAAGGTTGCTGATGGTGGTAGTTCTGCTATTAGTGCAAGAATGTAAGGGAGGTAGGAGAAACCAACCAAGATTTTGAGGTCAGAGATCTGGCTACCTCACATTGTTTTTCCAAAGGCGCATGGTTCAAATCCACCAGCTGCTCCACCAGAATAAGAAGGGCAGTCTCCTTCCGTGCAATTAAGCCGACTCTGAAAACCCACAGGAGGCCCAGTTATGGGTTGGTTCTGACTCCACAGAACAACATTTGAATTAAAGAAGCTTGTTCATTTACAATCTTTTCCCAAATGCAAATGTACCAAGATCAAACCACACCCACTGCCAGCCAGTGGATTCCAGTTCATAATGGCCCGAAGGGCAGAGAAGAATGACCCCATCGAGTTCCCAAGGCTGTGTATTCTTTACAGAAGCAGAATTTGTCCTTGAGAGAGAGAGCATCCAGTGGATTCCAACCGCCAACCTTTTACTTAGCAGCTATACACATTAACCATTATGCTACCAGGATTCCTAATGCAAGGATATTTTTTTTCTGAGTACTGTCGAGTTGGAAATGACCCACAACTAACCCTTCAGAGGGTTTTCAGAGATAGTAAGTCACACAGGAGGAGATAACCCGTCTTTCTCCTGCTGAGCAACTGGTGGATTCAAACTGCATGCCTTTGCCATGGCAGCACAATTTCTTATCACTAGGCCGCTAGGGATACAGGCCCCATATTTGTGTTCAAGGTACACCATTTCCATTGAACTCATCAAGAATGATTTTTTTTTCCCTTTTAAAGCTACTTGTTTTCATTCACATGATCTTTACTAACCCTTCATCCAAGCATTAAAATGCCTGTCATTCCTTCCTTCCTTCCTTCCTCTCTGGACAGGGCTATTTTAATTGATAGCATCCAGAGTTCAGAGAAAAGGACCTACCTTGTCCTGTTGGCCTTTGTAACCAGATTTAAAAGTCATGCAATGAACAAATAGTGTTGTTTCTTCTCCCTCCCCTGTCCTACCTTGTTCAGTTATATCATTCTCACTTTGACAATAGAAATCTATACTTTTTCTCTCTATTTTCCTGGGACTCTATTTAATTCTTGGCATCTGAAAATGGGTCCATGCAGAAAACCCATCTTCCTAGGTCTAAACACATTGTCCAGTCTTTTTCATTTTTTTTCACAGAGGTTTTTCCGACCAGAGCCCTCTTCTAATGGTTTCCAGCAAGATAACCGCATGTCCCCAGAGAGCTGTAGGCTGAGAGCTAAAAAGTCTTCCAAAGAATGTGATTAATACTCCATCCCTAAGCAAGCAATTAGGTATCCTGTATCTGACACATAGGATTGAGAAATATTCATCTGTAGGAATGGATCCCACGTTTGTGAACAGCTCTGTATTGCTTCAGCTGGTTTTGTTTTAAAGTAGAGGAGTTCTATCACCATATATTCTCATTAAGAAAGGCCTGGATCCCAGTGAAGTACAGCAGTTGGTAGCATTTTCTCTCTCTCACTCTTTTCCAATCCACCTAGAGTTTGCTGAGAAACATTTCCATTTTCCCGTCCAAACGTCAAAAGCTGATCTATGGTTTATTGTTTCAGCGAGGTGCCATCGAGTGGATATTCAGCTCCGGGTAGATGAGTTCTCTTACTTGAGGATGTTTTCTTGGCTGTAATCTTTATGGGAACTAATGACCAGCTCTTTCTCCCTTGGAGTTTCTGACTGTGTTCAAACTGCCAGCCTTTCAGTTAGCAGTCGAGGACTGAACATGCTAGTCAGCTTCTTGAACTAACGTTTCTCACTCCCACGACTGTTGAATCCGTTTGACTCACTGTGTTTCCAAGGCTATAAATTTCAACACGAGGAGACTGTCTGTCTTAGCAATTAGGAATTGTTGGTTCTGTTTCTGCAGTGTTCATCTATATGCTAGATGTTTCTAGGTTTCTATATCCTAGATGGTTAATCTGCTTGTTAAACTTAATAGGATAAAGGTAGGATAATTTTTAAAGGGGGCACGTGTGTGTATATATATGTAAACATATATATATATATATATATATTTACAGTGAATTATCATTAGTCCTCTTGTGTCTCTGAATAGAAAGTACTCTTTAATTCTCTTAACTTTATTTCATAATCATAACTGATACCATTCTTTTCCAGCAATTTGTGACATATACAGTTACTTTTAGAAATATTTTCCATTTATGAGCATGCTTTTCAAATCAAAATCGCTTTATCTGTTACACCTGAGAAGTTGGGAATAAAGAAGAGAAATGGAGTAAGTGGCTTGTAATAAGATTCTAGTGGAGTCACAGAAGGAGACGTCACAAGCCCTTGCTCCACAGAAACGTAACAGAGAAGCAGTGGTTACAGAGATGATGTATGCGAGGGCTAATGTCTGAGATGAGGACTAAACACCAAGAGAAGGGCTGTGCTTCTCTCCTGGTGCAGCCCTTTCCCAGCGTCAGGCCATTGGCGCCGCCGTTTGGCCTCATCCAGAGTGGAAAGGGGCTCAATGAGCATTCCCACTGTCACAGTAGATGTGCTTCTTTCCTGTTGTTTCCTGCAGATCCGCGATGCAGGGCCTACAGACAGTACGGTCCAGTTCATCTTCTACCAGCCCATCATCCATCGGTGGAGAGAGACAGATTTCTTTCCTTGCTCGGCAACCTGTGGAGGAGGTAATGATGTTCACTTAGTCCAGAAACAGTTGGCTTCTGTGAGGAAAGATGTGGCTATTGGAAGAGTACGGTAACATTAGCATGGGAGACGTTTTGTGCTGTTATCTTAGACCCTTTCTTCTGCATGAAGTGAGGTTCTGGAGCCCCCACAGAAGACAGACACCTCCGTTAATATACCCCACAAATATGTTCTGTTTGTAGATCCCAGAATAGGAGACTGTCTCCACAGAAACTCAAGAAGGATCAGAGCTGGTACAATTTTGCACCCGACGATGTCTTTCATTTGAGAATGAACCAACCATCTGGTTAAAATGAGCTCATTTATTCAAGAATAAAGGAGAAAAAAATACCCAGTAGGCTTGGTCTATCTTGTATGGTATATCTTGACTCAGAGATTAGAAATTGATCAGAAAAATTAATTTCTAATTGGAGACTTAGTGTCATTTTGGCTCCTCTCTTATTCCTGCTTTAAGAAGGATGCTGTTTGCTTTATTTATTCAATAAAATTCATCTCTCTAGGGAAGTCCCACCAAGAATCTCTCTCTCTCTTTCATAACTGCTGTCACATGGGCAGCATTTTGTGTTACTGAAGAAGATTTCAAACACACACCCCCCTTTTTATTTTGTTCTTCTTAAGTTAACAGTTGTAGGATAATTGTTTTGAGTTACTTAACAGTAATTTAGTTAGCCATTCTCTTGTAGTGGACCATTGCATTTATTTAAACTATTCTACTATTGAAAGGAACAACTTAATATCTTAGTATTTTTCTCCTTTAGGATTATTTCCTTGGCATAAATAGTCAGGAGTGAGGTTACTAGATCAAGAGGTTCCAGAATTTTTGTGGCTGTTGGCATTTATGACTAAAATTCTTTCCAGAAGGGTAACTAGTAATGTATGAATATTTTTTGTTTCATTGCCAGCTAAGTGAGCATTTGAGGATTATCATCTTTTTAAAGTTTTGTTCATTTAATGGATGTAAGATTGTACCTTTAAAAAGTAGCTCATCACATAAATTCTAGCTTGAGCTTCAATGATGCTAGGTCATTGCCTGTCTTAAAAGAACTTATCTGCCTAGATTGCTGTTAAGTGTCAGTTGCCATTAACTGGATCACAAATTATGATGTCCCCAACTGTGCAGAGTAGACCTTCCCCACAGAGTTCGCAAAGCTGGAAACAGATCTTCAGACTTTACTTCCAAAGAGCCTCTGGGTGAGTTGAATCCACATAGTCTATTTGCCAGACTAATTAAATAGGAGATAACAAGGCTGGTGTCTCAAAATAGAGCTATTATGAATGTCCATGATTTTTCAAAAAGCTTTAAGAATCTGAGATGTGATTCGTTTTAAGCTCTGTTATTCATTTCTGCATTGTTGTTGTTGTTGTTATGTGCCGTCGAGTCACTTGTGACTCATAGCAACCCTATGTACAACAGCCCTAAACTCTGCTCTGTCCTGTGCCAGTCGCACTGTCTCTGACACTCCCATCCCAATTATCCCAGTCACTGAATCAATACACCTCATAGAGGGCCTTCCCCTCCTGTGCTGTCCCTCTGCCCTCCCAAGCATGATGTCCTTCTCCAAGGACCGGTCTCTCCTCACAACATGTCCAAAGTGTGTTAGATGGAGCCTCAGAATCCTTGCCTCCAAGGAGCCACCCGGTTTAACCCTCTCCAGGACAAATCTGTTTGTTTTCCTAGCAGTCATAACATGAATAAACTACTGGAAATGCTGGTCTATGAAGCAATGCAGGTTTTTACCTTAAAAGTCAGACTCCACTCATTGCTGACACTCCAGCTGGCTTCTGAGGATGTAAATTGCAGAGGAGGAGGTTGGCCATCTTCTTCCCTTGGGGCACCTGGTAGCAGGACTGACTGATGACTGCAGGACCAGAGCTCCCTCCTTTAATAACCATAATTCAAAATACTTTCACTTCTGTTGTTAATTAACTGTTAATCCAACACTTACAGCATTTCAGTAGATTAATTATTCTAGCGACTGTGTCTGTCCTGAATAGAAAATTAGATTTTTGAGCAAAATTTACTTTTGTTCAAAAGTAAGCTACCGACTGCTCTGATGTTCACTAGGAATGTGTGCTCTTAATACACCTTCTAATGACTAGCTCAGGAAACCATTGCAGAGAAAGAATGCGACAGACTATTTTTTTTTCCTTTTTAAATGAAAACCATGCCTTGGGAGAAGGAGCAGCTCAGTTATGGGTCTGGCTGCTATGCCAATTTCACACAGAGCTGCTGTTGGGGTATAATTTCAATGACCTTGACAGTGGCTTGCTATTTCATAAGGCAATTAATGTTAAATTCATATAGATCCAAGTCCTTTGGCTTCACATTCCTTACATCCAGCTGAAGAAGTAGAACTGTCAGTGGCTGCAAGTATTTTTAAGTATTGAATCGTTTCTCAAACAGAAATGTTGCTGGGAAGCTGAGATAAAAGGGAAATTGTACAGATGTAGATGTGAAGGATGGGTGCTTGGCCTACCGAGTGGAAATTGCTGAAAAGGTTAAATGGAACCTCGCTCTTACATTTCTGATTTTAGACTCACTTGGTAGACTGTTTTGCTAAGTGCAAGCAAAGTGGGAGATGTTGTTAGGGGTCGTGTCTAAGTCATGGTAACCTTGTGAACAACTCAACAAAACACTTCTTGGTTCTTACAATCCTCAAAAATTCCTGGGTACTTGAGCATGTTGTTACAGACATTATTTCAGTCCATCTCATTGAGAGTCTTCCTCTGAGTCTCACCACCTTCCGAACCATAATGCTCTTCTCCAGGGGGTAGACCCTCGAGATCACATGGCCCAAGTAGATGAGACAAAGCCTCACCAGGCTGGCTTCTGAGGAACCCTCTGGGTGTACTTTTTCCAGGATAGATTTAATTTGTTCTTTTGGAAATCCATGGCATATCCCATGCTCTTCACCAACAGTGCAATTCAAAGGTACCAATTATTATTTAGTCTTTATTCATTGCCCAGTTTTCATTTACTTATGAGGCAATTGAAAATACCATGGCTTGGGTCAGGGACACCAGTCCTGAAGGTGACTTCTTTACTTTTGAACCTTTGAAAAGGTCTCTTGCAGCAGATTTAAGATGACTCTTAAATAGTTTAGGACCCCTTAGAAAACATGATTAGCTGAAGATTTGTTTTATTTGTTTCATTTTTGCTCTAAAATCTTCATTTCATAAGCCTGTAATAGCTTCAAATCAGTATTTTTAAACTGAAAAATTATTCTTTTTCTTAAAATTCCTAACTTATTATATATATTTATGTATTTTACTACATGACAAAATCTGTCTTGGAGCAGAAATTATTAGATGGAAAAATAAAAAATATTAGCTTATCATACAATTGTCTGTTCTAGAGTAGAATGTCATATAAAAATAAAAACATAGTATTTTAAAAAATAAAATTTTGCTACCTCTTTTTGTTATAAAAGGATTAAATAGAACATATGTTCTTACCCATTACTTTTATTGCTTTCCATGCTTTTCATCTTTATAATAAAATTTTAAAGGTCTTATTTTAGGTCTTTAATGAACAATTAATTTTTTTTGTGGGTGGTCTGAGAGCACAGCCTCCAGCCAGGATGTCTGGAAAGTTACCTTCTGGTTTCCTAAAATCTTCCTTTGGCCTTTCTAAATCTTCTTTTTGAAGGTAGATAATAGCATTCAGCCACCTGCCAAGGAACAGGGGAAGAGCTCATGTTTAGAAAGGTACACATTGATAAAAAAAAAAAAGAAAAGAAAAAGAAAACAAACTCCCCTACACACATTTCTTTTACCCCCCCTAAGAGCCCAAGTCGGCTTCACCACTCATCAGAAATCCACAGGCCCAGTCAAGAGGCAGTTAAGAAAAGTAAAACTTAGTATAAATAGAATGCAGAATTGCACAACCGTATTTCTGGCTTGAGGTTCTGGCTGGGTTTGAGACCTTAATCTTCCACTTATTCAGCTCCATCCATTCTGCTTGAATTTGGGCAAATAATGTGTCATGGCAACTGACAGAATCAGATCTTGTGCAGCATTGTACAGAGCTTCGTTAATCAGGGAGTACAGTTTTTGGGGCTGTGAAGGGGCTAGGTGTTGCAGACCCAGAGTAAAGTAATAAGTACTAATTAACAAGACGAATACCACCAAGAATGTAGGGGGGGGAGGGGAACAAAGGTGAAGCAGGAAGCAGAACAGTCCTTCAACAACTGAAGTGAACTCAAGCACAGCCATTAGCTTCCCTGTGTCTTTATTGAAAATTGCCAGGGTGCAAATCACCAAGAGAATTCAATGTAAATGAACCTAAGCTCTTTCTATTGAAAACCTTCTTGTTGATTCAGAAGGGAGGGGTTAGCAAATACAATGCAAGGATTGCCTTAGTGTCTACCCCTGTAACATTTAAGGATTGCCTTAGTGTCTACCCC